AAAACTCCGAAACCCCAAACCGCACGGATTTTTTTTGCAGCGAGGCAGCGAAACGAACTCCGGTCCTGGAGCAACTGAAGGCGAGTCTGCCACTTGCTTAACTCAGGACCCCAAACCCCAAACCCCCGGAGACTCCAATATCCACTAATTAAGGAATATACTTGAATATACCTTGAATTATATTTGAGATCCTCCAGAAACTAGGGTATATTCCTTAATCAAGGGATATTGGAGTCTCGGGGCCCCCTGAAGCCCTAAGCCCGAGCCCGAGAGCCCAACGGCATGAGCTCTGCCACGGATCCTTAGGGGGGGTAGGGGGTCTTTATACCGATGATTTGGACTTAATAAGGCTATTTAAGGAAGTATAGTCCCCTTCCCCCCTCCCCCCTACCCCCCAAGGGCCCCTATGAAAGCAGGTGAAGCTGAATCCAGTCGAGACGCGCCAGGCCTGGGGAGAGAGACTGCGAGTTGCGCTGAAGAACATCAGTAAGAACAATAACAATCATAATCATCATAATACTCATAAGAATCATAAGAACCATAAGAATCATAATGATCTCAATAATCTGGAGCAGTTTATAGCTATCCTAATAACATTGCTGAGAAGAAGAGTAGTAGTAATCATATGAATGAAAATGGAAGTGACTGATGCCAAAGAGAAGTTGTGATAGCAAGACGGACAGTACGATGAAGCTGCATGTGCAATACTACTAGTATAGTAATAAGAGCAATGCTAGCAACAATAGTAATTATGAGACCTACAGTCGGCAGCAGCAGCGAGGCTCCAGATGATGATTCGAGCGACGATGAAAGTTGCTTCGGACCTCGGCCACACTGCTGCTAGGCTGACGTTTATGACGATTATGAATGTTCTTCGTATGATGGTTATGATTATTACAGCGATTTTGTTGTGATAATTATGTTTCTTATTTCGACTACTATTCTGACCATTACTGTAACACATGATCTGTGGAGAGGAGAGGGGCTCCAGAAACGACGTGCGCCACCAAGGCCCGGCGTACTTCAACTCCTACTCAAACGGGAAGAGCGCGGTGAGGCGTCGCCAAGCTCGATTCGCGTTTAGCTTTCTTTTTTGGGCTTAGCGCTGAGGATTTGGGGTTGAACGGCTTGGGGCTGCGTCTGCAAGGTGGCATGGTGGATTCTCTTGAGGTCTAGGATCCCTAAATAAAGGACCCCCATATACATAGAATCAGCAAGTAGTAGGGTCCTTATACTAAGGACCTGCAAATATTAGAATCTACAAAGTGCATATGTACACATTTTCACGCATGTATATGTACATGTGCATATATAGGAAATTGCAAAGAGATAGAGCCGACCAATAAACAATACGAATCTCCAACTGTACAGCTCCCGCCAAAGAGTAGGATCTTCATAATAACGAACCCCAGATACTAGGCTCCTGAGCATGGCGACCGCGGCATAGTAGGATCCTTATACCAGGGACCTACAAAACGTACCCAAGTTTTTGCCCTTTTGATAAGGACTCAAAAGACGTGCCCGAGCTTTTGAAAACACCAACATAGTAGGATCCTAGTACTAAAGACCCAAAAGAGGTACCCAGAAGTTTCTAAACCCTAAACCCTAGACCCAAAAGACGAACCCAAAAGCTCTGAAACTTCCAGGACTTCCATCGGTCCGAGAGGCGAGCTTCCACCGCTCCCAGCAGGCGGTGAGCGGCAAGCTGAGCGTAGCCCTGAGCCCTAAACCCGAAACGATTCTGCTGACCTTAACTGCTAGGTAGAAACCAGTGCTCAAAAAAGACCCGAACGATAACCAGATACTGCGGAAGAAGATCTATGAAGCAAATGGGAGTTTGATCTTCTACGGTGACGTCTGAGTGGGTTTCGGGGTTCTTACGGAGTGCACGTCCCTTGAAGGGGCGGACTGTCGCGCGAGCGAAAGGCCACTGCACCCTAAACCCCGAGCCCTACACCCTAAATTGAACCCCGAATGCCAAACCCTAGAACCCGAAGCAGTAAGCTCAGTAAGCCCTAAATGGCTAAGCTCCCTGCGGAAACGTGAGGAGTTCACGGATTCTTGCGGGACGGAGGCGCAGCTGGGGCGGTGAGTTGTGTCTTCGGGTGTTGGCTTGGATCACTCCAAAATAAAACCAGGTCCTTGTATCATTGTATCAGGGTTTAGGGCTCTATCAGATAATTAGGGTTTAGGGTTCTATCAGATAGTTAGGCCTCAGTACCAGCAAGAGTTTAAGCTCCGGCCTGCAGCCTTAGCACTCTGGCGAAGCTTCGGAAGCGGACTAAGTTGAGAGGTCCTTGAATCTGTACGGATTTGCCATGACCTGGCTCGTTTGGCTAGGCATGACGCTGTACACCTTGCTTTGCAAGGGACCCGGAGCGCCAGCAACGCGGCTGAGAATTGGACTGCATTGGGGTTTGGGGTTTAGGGTGCTCCTGCTTGCTATCAGGTGGTGCTCCACTATGCCAATTGCGGCTTTGAAAGCTGGCGCCAGAAGTACGAGCTGCTGTGTAAGGGTCACGGTTGGGGGCCCAGCAACACCGAGAGCAACAGCAGCTGGCATTTTGTGTGTGTGTGTGTGTGTGTGCGCGTGCGTGCTGTACGTGTGCGTATGTACAGTTTGACATATACAGTACATGTATATGTATGTATGTACGTACGCGTGTATGTATGTACGTACTATGCATGTATGTATGTATGTATGGATGTATGTATGTACACATATACATATGTTTACAGATGTACGGATACATTACACGTATGTACATACGTACATATATACATATGCACACGCACTTTCTCTTGCATTCGTATAGACATAACTTCGAATGCTAGATGAAGCAGCAGTTGGATACTCAAAATCATTCTGATGTAGTCGTATACATATGTCTGTGTATATATATATATATATGTACACACGCATGTATTCACTGATGAGTATGGGTGAGTCAGAAAGCAGGAAGGGACGAATGAACGAATGAATGAAGGAATGAATTGATGACTGAGAACACATGGTAATGTGTGTAGGTATATGCATGTTTGCCTGTCAACTTGCATGTTCCTAGGTATGCATATTGTGTGGATATACACAACGTGTACACATGCAAAAAAGATGCAGATCCTCATATACATGCAACAAGTATTTTGAGACTTATGAAGTAAAAGGCCCGCCATTTCCCCACAAGAGGCACAGAGGATGGCGCTTTCTCCACCAGACGGCCGGGCATCGCCGAGATTCGATCTCACCTGGCAGCCAGGCAGCTGACTCTACGAGGCCCGGAGGAAAAAATAGAGTCCTCGGGTTCACAGTTTAGATTTAGGGTTTAGGGGGTAGCGTCCTGTAGAATCCGGAGCCTAAGCCCTCAACTTTCATACTGAAGCCCCGAACCCTGCATGCCCTAAACCCTCTTCGACAGGTGGCGTGAAAGATCTGGAGCGCTTCTACAAAACCTTCGTGCAGGTGCGTCCCGTGCGCAGGCTGATTTTTCATGGGCATGCTCGAATTGTGGTCCTCAGAACACGACCGACAGAAATCCCCAGACCCCTCAAAACCTTCAATCAAGCCCTAAGCCTCAAAAGCCTCAAGCTTTGGTGGACTTGTGGCGTGTCTCCACTTTCCCGTCTGGGTGGCGCTTCTTCGCTGGGCAATGACAGATAAGTGGCATTGTGTAGCTGGCAGTGCACAAAATAGGGGGCGATCGACACCCATGCAGCGCAACCCTACCGAGTCCCAGCTTTTCAACCCCAACATGTCCAAAACGTGATAACTCCGAACATTGTAAACCTTAGTAGCCCTGAAGCCCTAACCCCTACTCCTGAAACCCTACACCCCAAACCCGAAAGCCCCTAAGACCTACACCCAAGTCCACGGAGGGAAACGAGTTCGACGAGATGGCGTACCTGGCACAGTTCGGCCTGGTACTCCGACTGCCGCAGCCGCAGCAAAGATTGCAGGCGCCTGAGAAGCCCGTAGGGGCTTAGTTAGCCTTGAGGGATGAAGGGGTTTAGGGGTTTAGGGTTTAGGGGTTGAGGGTTTAGGGGTTTAGGGTTGAGGGTTTAGGGGTTTAGGGTTGAGGGTCTAGGGGTTTTGGGGGTCCAGGGCTTTAGCATTGACATATAAGGGTTTAGGGGTCTAGTTAGGGTTCTTAGCATTTAAAGGGAACTCCAGAAAGTTGGAATATGGTTTCAGGGTAGGATACCTTATAATTTACCATAAAGGGTTTAGGATGATAATCATATTCCAACTTTCTGGCTTCTACTGTAAGGGTCTAGGGTTTCAGCATGGAGGGATTAAGGCTTAAGGTCCAGGGATGAAGTTTGGAGTTTAGGGAGCTTTCGAATCCGCCATGATTACCCCTGTGTTAAGGCATGCACTGTCCAGCAGGATCATGAGAGCGCCCAGAGACTCCAATATCCCTTAATTAGGGAATATACCTTAAATTCCAGTAGGATCCCTAGTATGATTTAAAGTATATTCCTTAATTAAGGGGTATTGGAGTCTTTGGGCAGCTGCCCCAAACCCCTGTCAGGAGTCTCGCAGGATCTTCCTGGAGTTCAGCAAGACCTGAGACTCACTTCTCTTTAATCTGGAGGAGAAACAGCGGTGAAAACGGCGCGTTGCCTTGCCAACCTTGGCCGACTTTTAATGTGTTTTCTCACTACACGTACTTTAGGTAAGCCTTCGCAGGTCTTGGCTGTCTGCCTGACTCTAGCCTGGCAAAGCGCGTGTGTCACCTGTATACGTGTGCCAGCGGGGTGGATGCCACTGGTCTAAGCGAACTGCCTTTGCACACACGAAGCCTAGAACCGAGAAGCGCTTGGCAGTGAAGCGAACGTGGAAGCTGAGCAGTGCTTCAATGTACTATAGTGTACTACAAAGTTCCATAACCTATCATGATGTAGCACCATCATAATATACTTTGTGATGTACTGTAGCATACTATAACATGCCATTGCCTATCATCATCTACCATAATATACTACGTAAGCACACTGCCGAGGCCTTGTCGGATGTGGGTAGCTCAGTGCAGACATCTGAGTATGGCCACAAGCTGCGGGCAAGCCTGAAGAAGTTTTTTTGGTTCTGGCATGCTCTGGCACGGTGAAGCTCAGTTTGGGCTGTTTCTTTGGCAGTGAACACTGACGTGGTACCAGGTTAGTTAGTGTTTTGAGATTATAATACAAGATACTAATGATGTTATATGTATATATATATATACAATATATGTATTAGCATGTAATATAGTTGCCGAGACTGGACGAGGTGTTCGTGTCAATTGTCATCTTCGGCAAGGCCGAAGAGCGATGGACCCAGCAAGACACGGGCAACATCCTCGCGCGGTTGTTACTCGTAGTGGAAAGCACCTTGTCGTCTTCGTCGGAGTAGTTTAGTTGTGGCTACGCTTGAAGTCGTGGTTGTGGTGGTGGTTGTGATCGTGGTGGTGATGGTCGTGGTCTTGATCGATGGCGGGCGTGGTCGTGGGGGTGGGTGGGGGTTCGTGGTTGTGGGTGTTGGTTGTCCTTGTCGCTGTTTTTGTGCTGTCGTCGTGGTCGTCACTGCTGCTGTCGCAGTTGCTGTGGTTGTGTTTGTTGTGGTCGTCGTTGTGGTTGTTGTCATCGTCGTCGTTGTTGTGGATGGTATTGGTAATGGTGGTGGTAGTAGTGCTGCTGCTGCTGCTGTTGCTGCCGCTGCGGGTGCTCTTGCTTTTGCTGCTGCCGTTGGTGTCGGTGTGCGTGTTGGCGCTGTTCGCATTTAATGCTTTGTTGTTGTTGCTGCTGTTGCTGATGCCATGATGCTGCTGCTGTAGTTGTTGTTGGTAATGGTATCTTCGTTCGCCGTCCGTTCGAACGCTGAGGCTGCTCAAGCTTCTGCCAGATGACGACATGATATTCGCTAGATGACTCCCACCATGCTATGCGTATCTGAGTTCCGGGCATCACTGGTCTGAACGGCTGCTTGTGTGACGAGCGTTGCGAGTTCACTGTTACTTGATGCTACTAGCTGCCACGACCGTAACTACTGCGATCATTGCTGTTGCCGTGAGAGATTCGGAATTTCAAGTTCGCACGAACCTCTAAACCCTCAGCCCTAAAACCTGAAACCCTAAAGCCCTAAACCCTAAAACCCTAAACCCTAAAGCCCTAATCCCTCTACACCCCACTCCCCCCCCCTCCAAAGAGAGAAAACCACACTGAGCACTTCCCCGCCCTCGAGGCTCGGAGGCCAGTTCCAGCTGGCCGCGGCAGCTCCAGACTTGAGGCTTCAGCCTGGGCTTAGAGCTTTAGGACTTCAACATCCCTTGTTCCCATGACATCCGCACGTTTAGGGTTTTCAGGGGTCTCGGGTGCCCCACGCCCTGAACGCGGAGACCTTAACCATTACAAAAACCCGAAACCCTAAACCTACCTATAGTCTCCATTGTAGTTCCTTGTTCTGGCGTAACCAAATATATAATAGGGATCCTATGCGGTAACCCCAAAAAGGAACTACGATGGAGACTACAGGTATTGCAAAACATTCAAAAGCTCCAAGACAGGGCGGCCTCGAAGCGCCTCGGGGTCGAGAGCCTCGGTCAGTTGGGGGCCCTGCGAGCAGCGATCGAAGATGCTGGGTTCTTTTTGAGGAATCTTATCTTTACTAAGCTACCAAATTTAGGGTTCCTTTAAAGGGTTTTATGAGGGTTCTTGTTAAGGAATTTAGTTTAGGTTGCCATAATAATAGAGATCTATAGTAAATAGTATGGTTTCTTTGTTAACCCAGGATGTGTTTAGGCTTTGGGGTGAACGATTTGGGGGGATTTAGGGTCTGGGGTTTCGGGTTTGTGGCTTTGGGGTTGAGAGTTCGGAGTCTTAGGAGTTTAGGGGTTTGGGCTTGGAGGTGCTAGGCGTGATAGTGGCAGCACAGTACTAGGGGTCGTGATCGCAATCCGAGTAACAAAGCTAGTCAGAGCGCGAGCAATGCAAAAGCAACAATGCCTGCAGTAATGCCTACTTACTAGTCAGTAGAACAGAAGCAGTACGACTAGTAATTAGTAGGACAATGACGCTGGCAGCAGCGCGAATAAGAGTTGTACAAAACATTACGTGTGTGCACAGCATGTTGAATAGTGAGAGGTGCGACGGTAAACAGAGCCTGCAAGCGAGTGTTTGTAGCGGTAACTGTGCAGAAAACTTCGTCTGTGTAACTTCCACAGTAGCCGCGACACGTGAGGCCGGGACAGGTGCCACTGTTCCTTTGTCCATCGCTGGAGGTGCAGAGATGATGGGGATTTGTAGAGTTCCTGGCTCTGGAAGATCTATATTAGGGACCCAAAAGGCGCATAAGCATAAGCATTTTATGGGGATATCCCTACCTTATTGGGCTTCATTATAAGGGGGTTTATATGCCATACCATATAATATATGGTATATCCTTATCCTAACTTTTGCTTATGTGCTTCTTTTGGGCCCTACTATAGGGCCTAGGGGCTTACGGCTTTCGGGCTTGGGGGATCGAATCTTCGTTGTTCTTCAAAACGGTAGGCACACATGGGGCGCGAGCAGTCTTGTAGAGGCCTTCCATGCCTGGGATGCACGAAGCCATCCTCCGAAGAGCCTTGCAAAGCTGGGCCCCGAAAAAAAGCAGAGAAACGCAAATTCGTGCAACTGTGCTTCTGGCTAAGCAACGAGACCTTTGAATATAGCATCATCGTAATGTGTCGATTCCTGTTGCTTCGGCAAGTACTGCTGCTCTTACACAGCTTAGGTGCACTACGCCTTTCTTATGTTTTGGTGTTTTCGTTCCGAGGGCTTGCTACTTTTGTACTGGAGCTGCTGCTGATGGCGGTCACTTTGCTGCTGATCCTATACTCTGCTGCGGCTGATGTACCATCGTGATCATGATCGTCATCGCCATGATGATGGGAATCAGATATGAGTGTCGCCATCGTTGTTGGCATTGCTGTTCCTATTCACGATTGTCTTGCTCCGCTGTTGGAGGGAGGATTAAGCAACTGAGCCCCAAAGAGGGCTCTAGAAGAGGGCATGTACTGCAGCAATCGGCCCAATTAGTGTTCTTACGCACTGGACGCAAACGGAGAAGGGCTTGGGACCCAAGCGACCAGCCATCACCAGCCGGTCCGCATCAGCAAAATGGCACAGGTGGGAGTAACTCGGTCACTTTGAGCAAGTATTGGCCAAAACGACGCATCCAGATGATCTCCCTGTACTCGCAGTCGCAGTATCAGGCCGCTGCAGGGATAATCCAGTTGCATGTGGTAGCCTTGCTAGAGCAGCCACAGAAGCCTAAACCGCCAGGTGGAGCGCTTTGACAACGAAGCAACCGCAGGCGCGCGCAAACGGCTCTGATCTTGTAGAAAGAGTCGGACTACCACCGTGAAGCGCTTTGGGTGTTGATTGTGGGTTTGGAGTTTGGAACATTTGGACCTTTCCGATTTCCAAGTGTCAGGCTATGCATGGCCCTGCTTTAGCAAGGATATTTCTAAGCAGTCAGGGGCATGCGTCACTGATATTTCCTCAGATCAGCTCGACTTGACGAGACATCCGAGAGTGGGCAAAAGTGGTAGCCAAACAAGCGACGCCACATGTGAACGGAAACATGATTGTTAGGCGTTCAGTGCAGCAGCACAGGTGTATGCAGCGATGCGGGTAAGAAGCTGTAGCAGATATGTAACCATAGACCCAGGCACAGAGCATGTATAATTGTGTATACACCTCCATGCGTGTGGGAGGGTTAGATATACATATGTGTACCCACACCTACTAGATGGGCGATCCTCCACGTCAAGTTCGCCATGTACAGGTGTCGACATAGGAATTCATGCACATGTTTCCGTGCGGATCGACGAACCTTGTCTTGTATCTGACCTACCTGTACTTTGCAGGTGGGTATCGCGGACTGCAGTATACAATCGGAAGGGCTTACAGCAGTCCTCAGATGAGTGAAGGAAAGCAGCACCCGAGACACCTCTTGTGCACCAACGGGAAACAGTAGGTTCAAGCAGGACCCTTGCATTGAATCGTGGACATTCGGGTCTGTCGACGGTCAGTTTTCACTTTCTCCTGGGTGTGTGTCATGGCCGTCTTCGTTTGGTTGTGGTCATGGTTGTTCTTTTTGTTGTTGCTGCTGCTGTTGTTGCTGCGTTTCAACACATTTCGTTTTGGATGCGCAGCCTCGGGAGAAGAACGCACAAAGCCGAGGCAGCTCCGTTGACCGAGTGCCTGCATTTCTCCACGAGGACTTGATCCCGGCTGTGCCGGGTCTGGGATTGGAGGTCTCCATTTCCTAATCGTCCTAATAGGCGTTGCAACGACACTTTTTCAGGCTGGAGGGGTGCATGTGGTGGCAGAATCTTGTATTTCTCTCGAAGCATGCATGCATTCAACCACACCTTAGCCCTAAACCCTACACCCTCAACCAACCTAACCTAGCGGGGAGAAAAGAGGGTTCAACAAAGCAAAATCCGAAACCCTAATTTTTCCCGAATGGGGTGACGTTCAGGCAGATCTGCTCGCGGCTCTTGGACGGGTGTCGACCTCAAGGGGATACCAGCGGCTGTCGCATATAGAATCTTTAAGGTAAAAGCCAGAAAGTTGGAATATGATTATCCTAACCCTTCTATGTTAAATTATAGGGTATCCTACCAAGAAACCATATTCCAACTTTCTGGAGTTCCCTGTAATGGTCATTAGTTTGTTCATTGAGGGTTCCGTAATATAACTATACGGTAGTGTACCCCCAAACCACATTAAAATTACTCAGGCCCGTCGAGTAGCCGACATCATATCCAAGGGTGCATGCATGGAGCCCTTGCATGCCTGCCTACCTGACTTGCTCTTCGTCTATCTTTCTGAGTGTCTCGGCCTGTCTCCGTCCCTCTCTATCTCTCTCTCACTCCCCATTCTCCATTGTTTTTCCTTCTATTTTTGACCAGTCTCTATGTCGCTGCTTGCAGGGTGCTTCTTTCGCACTGATGTGGGGGTCGAATCGAGTCCATCATGTCAACTTGCTGGCGAACAAGGGTGACATTCGTGGTTGACCTTTGTAACACCAGCTGCATGTCAGCCGCCACTTAGCGAGTTGACCGCCTGTCTTCGCCTCTCTGTCTCTTGATCTTGCAATCCGCGTCTCTTTTGCCTCTGGGCCTGCCCGAACTACTTACCCCCTCGAAACACGAATAGCACAATATCGACCATATCTGAGCCTAGACATCAGTAGTGTTGATGCCGCAAGCTATCTGTCTATCTGTTGCTATCCCCTCGTATGCACGCAGACAGCACACAGAGCTAGGAATGCAGACAGCTTACCTCGCGTTCCGGCCTGGGCGGTTGAGGTTTCTATTTTGCGGTTTGTGGTTGGGATTGAATCCCATGCTATACCGAAGGGCCACGCACCCTTTGCCTGTAGACCCTAAACCAGGCCAACTTGAAGGGAGAGGAGGCCGAGATCGTGGTGACAACGCCCGCGCCTTACGGTTCTGGCGCACACACAGACACCGGTACTTGCATAGATCAGGACTTCTAGGCCAAGCCCTAAACGTTTCTAAATGGGTGGTTGTCAAAATTGTGGTCCCTTTTGGGGTCCTTGTTATAATGCGGCAATTTAGGGTACCCAAAAAGGGACCCTAATTTTGACCACCCCCCCCAATGCCAAACATTAGAAGCCCTAGAACCTTAAACCCCAGAGGCCATGGAAGAGCCTGGCAACTCGATGTTTGCCTACTTGGAGGGTCGGGGGACTTAGTAAGTAGGTAGTAAGTAGACTTATAAGTACCCTAAAAAAGGACCCTAACTGGGGTTATGGTACTTATAAGTCCCTAAAATAACCAGTTACTAAGTCACCCAACCTAAACCCTAAACCCTTATAGAATCCCTATAGATCCCTTTAAAGGACCCCTTTAAAGGAACCCCTTACAGGTACTAAGTCCCCTAAAGACCCTCCAAGTAGCCCTCCTGAGGTTGCAGCGGGTGATGCCGGACATGTTTCAGCTGCATCGATGGGGCTTAGTGTAAGACTTCAGAGTGTCGGCATCGAGCACTTCAATGCCGGCTCCCTGTGCGCATATATATATATATGTATATGTGTATTAGATGTACCCATACAACAACATCGATAGATAGAGCGAGAAGAGTTAGTCAGAGAGATAGTGAGATGGGGGTTTTCGAAAATAGGGGATCCTAATATTGTACCCTAAATTTCAGGATCCTTATCAAATAAGGACCCGCAAATAAGGTACCCTAATTTTCGAGCACTCCCAAGTTGCTTTCATGTCCCTATGGTTACGAGGACCCCAAAATAAGGTACCCTAATTTTCGAACACTCCCAGATGGAGAAGCTACTTCACCCAGCCTCTGGCTCAAACGGCAGGTCGCTGCTGACCTCGCGAGGCTTCACAGACAAGCTGGCATTCACGCCTTTAAGATCGATCAATAAGGGCTCCTTAGAGGGATCTACAAGGGTTCTGTAAGGGTCTGCTGAAGTTCCGAGGGGCTGAACAATCTGGAGGATGTGATACGGAAAAGTCGTGGGGGCCGTTCCAGCACCATACCATGCTATTCTGACACTCCAGACATCAGCATGACTAGTACCAGCATTACTTGTATACTGCCGTTGGTGAGAACATACTGTAGCCAAGGTGCCAGCAACAACAAAATTTATGAATGTGTCAACTTCCTCCTGCCACCCGTGCGATCATTGACGCCACTATTCGCATTCTTGCCCTTACGACGGTTCTCTTGCGGGAGCCACAAGCGCAACCAACCGCACGCTTTTGGGTGGGATATCCTCGGTCTATTGCCTTACGCAAGGAGGAAGTTATCGGATATACCATCCTTATGGTTTTTGTTTAGGGTGTTTTTTCGGTCCATATACAAAGCTCTTGTCATGGACAAGGTAGTAGTCATAACAACAGCCATCACCAGAGTCGTCGACATTGTACTGTAGTAGCCGCAGCAGCAGCAGCAGAAGGCGTCATATTGCTCGTCGTTGTCCTTGTGTCGCGTCGGTCGTCGATCTTGGTTGTGGTCGAGGTGGTGGTCGGTGTCATCGACGTCGATGACGCCGTCGTCAGCGTCGTTGTCGAGCTTGTCGTCGGTGTCGAGCTCGTCTTCGTTGTCGAGCTCGTGGTCGTCATGGTCGTCCTCATTTTCGTCGACCCTGGTGGTGATGGTGATGCTAGCTGCTCCAATCTGCTGCAAGTAGTATTGACACATCAATCATAATCAGGTTTCGACCATTAATTAAGCATAACGAAAAAGCCGAATGAATGCACTGCTCATCCTGACAGCCTCGTATGTCCATGTGGGAGTTCCCGAAATATGCGACCCTAATTATAGTACCCTAAATGTAGGATCCTGGTTATAAGGACCCCGCAATAAGGTGCCCCTCATTGTCGGAAACTCCCACGTTGAAGGCCGGACGAGTCGGCTGCTTCGCAGGTCTTGGTCGCAGGGCCCCTGGTCACCAGCCCGTAAGGGGGTGCGGCGTAGAGGGGGAGAGCGATTTAGGGTCTGGGCTACAGGGACTAGGGCTGTTTCGGGCTGTTCAGGTTTTTGGGTGACATGGGGCGGGGATAGGGGTTGATGGGGGCTTGCTGGCAGCCTTGCCCCTTGCAGTCGCCAAGGTGGCCAACTTGGCTGAGATTGGCCTGGGCACATGGAGATAAAAAGTGGCCCGTGATGATGCATTCGTTCGGAACAGCACATGCACAACGCACGGCGTGTTGATTTTCCACAGTCCCTCTTTTGGTCTTTCAGGCATGTGGCTGTCGGCGAAGCCTTGGGTTGCTTGACTGCAGTTCTATATTGAGCATCTTGCTGAACTTCCTACCATTGTTTCAGCCCATCTTGGGAGTATGATCCAATACCCTGCACCTTCTGGCTGTGGCGAGGTTATGCCTGCAAAGTTCGGCAGAAGGCCATGGGGGTGTGGAAGCTGGACAAGTTCTCGACCCAGCTTGATGCTGCCAGTCTTGTGGGGTGGCGTGAGCAGCCTCTGTGATTCTGAGCACATGTTAATGGGAAGGCAGGCAAGCCATGAATGCAGTGCATGACAGCGTGTTTGCTCCAATGACGCTGAGGTGCGTGGTCGTGATATGGAAGTCGCCAGGGATGGAACTACCACCGCCGGCGCAGCCCGCAGACAAGAAAGGCAGTTGGGATTATTTTGATTTCGGAGTTTGTGTTGGGACAAGGTCCTGCTTGAGCGTCCGCCAGACAAGAAAATGCCAAGCTGCAAATTCGGAAAGGGGTATGACGGCTTGTCCGAATTTTCCTTTTGAGTCTCACGCAGTAATTACCAGAAAGACATCACCTTACCGCTCACAACGATGCTGCTGCGCCTGACCAGTCGGTGGAAGGCACGCAGCAAGCCGAGAAGAGACAGCTGAAGGCCACTGTTGCACTGGTACCTATAGTCTCGATTGTAGTTCCTTTCTTGGTTAACCAGTTTTAGGGTTAGGATCCTATAATAGAGTTTATGGTTAACCAAAAAGAGGAACTACAATGGAGACTATAGGTAGGGGGCAGCCTCTCAGACCGCAATCCTTCTACCATCCGTATGGGAGTTTTTGAAAATAGGGGACCCTAATTTGGTACCCTAAATAGTAGGATCCGTATTATAAGGCCCCCAAATAAGGTACCCGTGATTTTCGGTAACTCCCTTATGGAGGCCTGTTTTGCATCAGGGAGTCTTTTGCGGTTCTCTTGGTAGACAGTGACAGGTATCGACCGAAAGCCCGAATTCCGGACCCAGTAGGTGTCGATTTGATGTTAAACTTCTACACTGCTACACCCCCAGTCAACAGCTTTCTTCCCTCTGCATGCTTCACTCTCAACCCTACACGCCCAAACGAAGTCCAAAGCCCCGAAGTCTACAAGCCGAAACCCAGACTTTTCACTAAGAGCAAAACTTCCATTTGTTCTAGACCATCCCACTGCAAACAAAGAAGAGAAGACAATACCCTGGATCTTGAAACCCCACAACACCAAGCCCCAGACCCCAAACCAAAAAGCGCCAGATCTCAAACCAAACCCGAAATACTGAACCCAAAGACACTAAACCCCAAGACCCTCAACTGCAAACCCAACCTCTAGCCCAGGAAAGCTTCAACCCTCAACCCTAAGCCCTAGACGCTTCTAACACCCTAAACCCTAAACCGGAAGACCCTAAACCGCATTCTGCGGAGCTCTCCAGGTCCTGGAGCCCCTTGAGATGGAGGTGAAGGGGTTTCGAAACTTTGGGGTTTTAGGCAGTTTGGGGTTGAGGGTTCGTTTCAGGGTTAGGGGTTTAGGGTGTGTTTGAGGGTTGGGTTAGGTTTTTTTTTTGGGTGGAGGGGCGGCGCGGGGGGGGGGGGGGGGAGTGGGTTCCTCGAAGGGTTAGTTAGGGTTCCTGTAAGGGTGTTTTTTTTCCGGGGCTTTGGGGTTTCAGGCTTTACAGTTTGGGGTTGAAGGTTGTGCGGCTGAGGTTTCAGTTTTTGCGGTCTTCGTAGAGGTTTTCAGATTCAGGCCGCCAGAGTAACTCTTTGAAGGTGGCGGTTCTTGGTCATGCTTGAAGGTTCGTGGGTAGTTGTAAGTGGGGTTCGAAGTCCCTAACTTGAGCTACATCTATAGTTGCTCTACTTCTAAACTTCCCATGAACTTCCAACTCTGTCTAGGGTCGCTGCGATCCCAACGGCAAACAGACCAGGAGGGCTCCCAACTGAAGCAAGTTGTTGCAGCCGTGCGCGACGAGTTCTGGCCTCAGACGCATCCCTTTGAACCCCCTGCTCTGTCATCGTGGCCCTTCGCGCAAGGCTGCCAAGATTGGGCAAGGATGAGCAAGTTGTGGCGACCACGCTTCGGAGGCTTCCCACGTGAGCACCCGCATCTCTGTTCGATGAAAGCGAGTGCAGGCGGCTGACAGCAGACTTCGGGACAATTTGGCACGTCGTCTCAGGCCGTCCTCAGATGTGAGAAGCAGATGCAAGGGCCTAAATAAATACCAATACACTACTATTTTGGGGGCTCCTTGTCATAATGATAGTCGAATATGTCCCAAAACCCTATTCTGGCCCTTGGTAGTACATGTCCGCTCGCCAGGGAACAAGTTCATTGTGGAGGCAGCTGAGAACAGCCGCAGCAAGTTCCTTGTCGGGGCCTGACGGTTGGATTTGGTGGCCAGGTAAGCACGGAGCAGAGGCAGAGCGGTGCAGAGAGAAGAATGCTGGTGGCGATGGGACGCTTCAGCTCTCGACTAGAAGGAAGACGGAGAAAGAGTGTAACAAAGCAGAGGCAAACCGAGAGCCAGGGCGCAAAATGAAGAGAGAGGGTGAGTGAGAGCGTCCTCGCGGGCGTGGTGCGAAGTCGAACTTACGGCGTGTGGGGAGGGTTGGCTGGTTGGCCTCGCCCGCCCTCGTTGGCGAGCCTGGCAGAAATGAGCGAGCGGAGAGGTGAGGGGGCGAAAGAAAAAGAAGGGATGCAACTGTGCACTCCGATGCCTCCGCAGCGCGGCACCTTTGCTGCAATTTCTGCTGTGCCTTTACTCGTACTTGCAGCGAGGTACAGATCGGAGAGATGAAGGTCCTCGGATTTCAGCATGAGCAGTTCAGCGAGGGGCACCTTAGTTCAAAGGAAATGATCTGCACGAGCCGCTTGAACCCTGCATCAGGATAGCGAGTTCACACTTCGACCTAGGCTGCTGCCGCACTTAACCTTGGAAAACCTCATCGCAGGCGCAAGTCCAAGCTCCTTAATGTGGGTGTTTTGTTGCAGGCTTTTCCTGTGCGCGTTGACCCCGCTCAGGTCTGCCATACCTTTTAATGATCTTCCTATGCTTCGCCTACATGGGCCTTTCATCTCTCTGCAAGGACTCGTGCTTGCAACGCAGAAGCACCTTGCCCCCCACAAAGGGCACAGTCATAGGAATCTGCAAGAACCTAGACCCTCCATCTACTCTCTATTAGACCCTAAGTACCCACTATTTGCGACCATATACCCCTATTTAAGGGTACAAGGAGGGTCCTGGAAGCATTGAGACTCTTTAAGGTGGATCCGCCTCCCCCGTGCTCAGGAGGGAGAGCCAGATCCGACGTCTTCACTCCTGCTGCAGCTGAAGAAGAGCTTGTGCTACCGGCTCTTGTGGTTGTCCCACGTGGACTAATAGCGACCATGCGGCTAATATATTGTAATTATAGTATAATGGGCCCCAAAACCCTGGTCTAGTTATTAAGGCCCGATATTATGCTCAATTGTATTTTTTCCTGGTGCTTTTGATGACGGTGCCATTGGCTGCACCGATGTGACACACTGGACACGGCCAGGTGTGTAGACGATTGGGAAGCATCCCTTCGCTCAGTGGGCGCCTGGCACTGAGTTGAGACCTCTGGGGCACTTTGCCAGGACGTGGAGATCTTTCAGAGACACCCGTTCTGCATTCCACTGCTTTCCTAAGGTCGTGGTTTTAATCTTCTCGGTTTGCTACAGGAAGATGCACTTGCTGACCGGCAAGAGGAAATCTGCGTAGGAAAAGCGGATGCTTGTGTCACTGATTCATTGCGCCTCCTGTGTCTTGTGGCAGTGGCAGCTGGAGCATGATCATGCCTTTGATTCACACGTGGCTTGCTCGCCTTTACTTCTGTGATGTGTATTCTGACGCCGATAACTGGGCTATCAGCAGCGTCTAAGCCGAGTTCGAACGAAGCAGGAGCAGGTGCAGCCGACCAGACCAGGCAACATTTCATAAGCCGAGCGACTTCCACACTTAGGACTTAGGTGACGTGGGAGTTTCCGAAAATTAGGGATATCTTACTTTGGGGTCCTTATAATAAGGATCCCATGCCCCATTATTTAAGCTCCAATATGCTGCCCACATGGTGTGACAAGGGCTGGAAACCCGATCTTCGCACCCGTTGTAGTCCCCAAGATGGGGAGCACAATGAGCAGAGCCGTCTTGAGTGCGTGCCTTCTTCCGCCGTGCATACTGCACTTGCAGGGTGGCTTGGCAAGCTCGGATACTGCTGATGCGCTGTTGTTGTGCTTCTGGTTCGGGCGCGGAGGTTGTGGCAAGCCGAAAGAAGCGTGCATAAAGGGCGACAAGGCTTGCAAGGAGCTGCATGAGCTTCTTCGACTCTTGTTTGCAAGGATCTTGGGGTGGAAGCTTCCATGACGGCTTCGGGTACGGGATTCAGGATTTAGTGTCCTGGCAACATTTCTCCGATAATGGGTATGCTGTCTTGTTCGTGCCACTCTGATTTTTGCCGCTGTTGTTGCCACAACTCTTTGCTGTTGCCAGGGTGAATACTACTAAACTTGTTCTTAACATTGAAGACTTAGCCTAGTAGCTCTCCAATATCCAACCTTTAAGCTTTAAACTGTTTGGGTTTATAGACTTTGGTCGTAATCTGAACGTTCATCCTTTTATTTCCCTGGCTTAGTGGGGGAAGTAAGAAGAGCCAAGGTGAGACCGACCTTAACTGTCCAAAGCATCCTGTGTAATGTTGACCTCCTATTAATAACCGATTTGGCGCCCCGGGTGGGGGGGATTGACTATTGAGGGGGGGGTCGGTCGTCGTAGTACAGTAGTATAGTATCACAATAGTACAGTAGTATAGTACAATAATAGTACAGTAGTAGTACAGCCTCTGAGTCCAGCTCTTCCGGCGGACAAGGCACGTTTGGTAAAGTACCAGCAATGAACAATGATCCTGCTCTCCTCTCCCTCCTCCTTTGAAAGCCGAAGCTTTCGCAAGCAAGGGCATGGCTGCTAAAGGTAGGTTATTCCAATCAACGACTCTGCTCCCACAGCTTGCTTTCCTTTTGAATCCAGAGCTTTCCCAATGAAGGGCTTGGCGTGTAAAACTTGCCGTCCTTTTCAAGGCCTTTAAAGGCACCACCAAAAGGCCCTCCCCGGCGGGAGTTTAATTTTGATGGGGGGTTTATAATTGCGAAGAACGGCCTTTGTTTGTACTCCATCAGGATGGAATGATTTTTGGCTCCGGGAATAAGGAATTTTATTGAGGAAGGCATGGTTTCTGAGATCCTCTAGATCTGAGTAGCTGCAGCTTCTCTCTCTCTGCAGACCTGAAGCGGGTGTAGTAGTTGCAGTTTTTCTCTTTCTGCAGACCTCAAGCAGTCCTAGTAGCTGCAGTTTCTCTCTGTTCCTCTCTCTCTCTCTCTCTGCAGACCTGAAACAGTCGTAGTAGCTGCAATTTATCTTTCTCTCTCTCTCTCTGTGCAGACCTCAAGCATTCGTAGTAGCTGCAATTTCTCTCTCTCTGCAGACCTGAAGCTGTCGTAGTAGTTGCAGTTTCTCTTTCTCTCTCAAACAACACAGAACAAGACAGAACAACAAGTACCTAATTTCGGGGAGTTGGGCCGGGTGTTTTGTAATTGAGGGAGGGTTTATAATTGAGTTCCGGGGGTGGGGTTTTGTAATTGAGGGGGGTTTATAAAAATGAGGTTAACATTAGTAGAACCCTTATTACTGGGGGCCCTAATACAGTACCCTAAATCGCAGGATCCTTGTTTTCAGGACCCTAATCTGGTACCCTAAGTAGTAGGCTCTTCTCATTGAAGAGCCAAGGTGAGACCGACCTCAACTGTCCAAAGCATCCTGACAGTCGATTTATCGGACCTCCGCGTCTGACGGTAGTCGGCGAGACCTGTGCCTCGGCTAGATCAGATAGAAGATGCACGGCTGCCCCGGGTAGCAGTAGAAGTAGAAGTGGACGTGGAAGCAGAAGTAGACTTCGAGTCGAATTCAGAAGTGGAAGTTGGACATATCAGCGGTGATGATAGTCGTGGGAACTGTTTGACCCGCTTGTTTCAGCCTTGTCTTTGCTTGGAGCAAGCCTTCTGCTGTCGGCGAGGTGACGTAGCCGGGTTCTGACATTTGTGTTGAAAGGCAGCGCGGTTGAGTTCCTGTACAAAGGTCGGGCTCTTGATGCGCAGATGCAGAACAGCTAGTCTTCTTCAGCAGATGCTCTGCTTGGCTCTTCCCCAGGTGGCTTGCCGGTAGTGTACACCTACGCCCGGCAAGCAAAGGATTCACTGCCGAACATTGAGCACATGTGTGTGACATGCTGCCACACTGGCAGGATTCCGAGTTTACTGACGAGTGGGGTGTAGGCTCCTCAGGTGCAATTGCTATTGCTACTGCTGAAATTAAATCATCTGGCAAGATGTCTTGAGCATGTGCACTCAGGGTGGCCTGCCGCCAATGGACCTTTCTGAAGAAACTGCTGCTGGGGGCGAGGAAGTCGAAAGGGGGCGGGGATGTGCGAAAAATCGTCTGGGCTGCATCCTTGAAAAGTCGGACTAGGAGCTGTGGAAGAACGTTCCTTTTGATCCGAAGATCCGGCGGTGCCAGCCCTTTGTAGGGGCATGTTAGAATATACTGGAACATGCCATCGTGTTCATATGAGAGGTATCGCACGATGATGTACAAATTGCCACCGCACAAGGCCTTCGAGGCAGATTCAGCCATGCTTGCTATGCTTCATTGAATTGGTCGTTCTGTGGATTGCCCCGACTAGGTCAAGTTGAGTGACCAAGACGATGCGCCATTCGAAGGCTTCAATTTCAGTTGTCCGCAGCACTCTGAGAAGCACATTATGTCTATACATACGTACATACATACATACGTAAGTGTATCTGTGTGCGTGCGTGCCTGCTTTGCATTGCAGCTTCTTGTATCTCAACAAGGTCAAAGCCACGGATTTCTGACGCCGTGCCTTTCAAGCCTCAACGACCTTATGACCTGAAGCTGCACCGCACGGACCCTGCAGCATGTCAGTCAGATGAAAGCAAGACGAATCTTGCGGTTGAAATTCAGAAGAGAGCTAACTCGTAGCCAGAGCTGCAGGATCCCCGGATCAACAAGAAGAATGACGAGGGTTCCGTGTGTAGCCTTCTTAGTTCATCTCGCTTGGCCTTGGATTCACTTTAGATGTCGCAGTGTTGAGTCTTAGACCAGGCATTGATTTGCACTGGGCCCATCCTCACACGGAGCTCAACCTATTGCCGGACTGTCGAGCAAACTTTCTTACACTCCTTACGGCACCGTGTTACGAATGCTTCTTCGCCGCCAGGACGACACCTATTTCCGGATATTCACGACTTATGCCCCGAGCTCACTAGCCTTCTGCGCCTCCTCCGGTGAGAGCTTCTGCATTCTTCATGAACTGAGGACGAAGAAGTGGTGCCCTTACGAGCTTCTGGGGTGGTGCTCCCTGAGCTGTTCTGCGTGTTCCCAAGGACGCCGTGTTGTTTTGCGAAGACACGGTCGGTGCACGGCCGAAGCCTTGGCAGCGTGCGATGTGCGTTGCATGCTGTCAATGGTTGCTATGTTTGAAGCGTCCAAGAGCCCAAGCCCAAGGAATCGTACATGTGGGGCCGGTATCTTAGAGTGCATCTCGTGTCCAAGCCAGTTTGCAAAGTGCGGCATCTCTGCCAAGTCGAAATCCGGCTGCAAACTTCGGTCGTTCATCGCTGCATGAGGTCCCCATGCGTACTGCAACTTCCCAGTCGTCTCGGCCCCAGAACATCCGAAGCCTCGAAGCAGCATATCACTACTCGTTCTTCTGCTCCTCGTTGCCACCATAGCGATCACGATCACCGTTTCAGGTGTTGCCAGTGCGGTGATGGTAATGTTGGCGATGCGATAGTGACGATCTTGTCGGGCACAGTGGTGATGAGGATGACCATCATCATAGGAGTACCCCTTATTTTGGGATCCTTGTTATCAGGATCCTGCTATTGATGGTAGGGTTCCCCATTTTTGGAAGCTCCCTCACGTTTCTACCTGTTTGGTTCTTGCAATCGCTTGCCAGACTGAGTCCAGCAGTATCAACTTTCAGGAGCCTCAGCTTCGCTACAATATGTGGCCTGTGGCCGAAGAGGCCAGGACGCACGGGGCTTTGAGAATTATATACATGAGATCTGTAAATATGGATTTAGTTTAGGGTAATTAAGAGCACTTAAGTTCTTTCAACCGGGCTCACACCAATTCTCTTGGCAACCTAGCCCGTCATATCCTCCTACCGCGCATCATCATCGCTAAGACCTGCCTTTGCATAGCGAGCATCGTGAAGAGGGGCCCTCCACCGGGCCAGCGAAGCCTTCGATGTATCAGGGTTAGTCTATGCTCTAGTATACGGGGTCCTACTATGTGAGGCTAGTGCAAAGATGTGCAAAGGTTGCTATAGGAGGAGTTCCACCAAGCTGATGGCTGGCGGCATGACTCTTCCACGTTGCATGATGCAGGCGGGTCGTGTTCACCGTTGAGGCTTTCAGCTGTGACGGTGAGTCTGTGCCGATCCCCCGGCGTGGCCAGAAGAGCGTGGACCAGCCATAACATGGTTTGCATTCTTACGTTTTGCTCGAGGTCTACGAACATGACGGCCAAAGTCTTAGTTCTCGGAAGTCTGAGGGTCTCTCTGTGTTTGCTCGTGCACGTGTGAGGCCATGACGCCTCCTGGGGCACCGACCTTCACCGCAGCTTTGGTGACACACCCTGCAAGCCAA